AGTCAGAGAAACTGACTCTTGATCCTAAATGCAGAAATCGCCTCTGCAGATGTTACGCCTTCTATCTCGCTCATAAAATTATCAGTTTTATTGATGGTTCTAAAATCGCGAGTGATGCTGTTAAGACATACTACTTCATCTTGAAAAGCAAAGCGGCAAGAGTTTATCAGTGGTGTCGAAAGACTTTCTCTGAATATTATTAGAAATTTTCTCATGAATGACCGCCTTCGTTAAATTTCTCCTTGATTTAGTAAAAAACTGCAAGAATCATGTTTTATACTCGTGGAGGTCATAACCCTCCTTCAGGCAACGTTACTGCATATATAAATGGTTATGATGCGGCAAATGATCATTACTGATCAGTGTTCTGCTGTTATTGACTCTTTATTGTTATTTCATGTATATTTTGCATATGTTCTATTCAAAACAACGTAACTTATTCCTTTTCGTTTTCCTTCTGGTCATCTTATATTAACATATTTCTTTCTCATATTCTTTCTTATTTCATCGGTCGTCTTACTGCCGACTTCTTTGGGAAGGAATATTTTTACACTTCAAATTGTCATATACATTTCACTCAGTTATTATCCATCTTTATATCCCAATGTAAAAAAAAATATTAATAAATAAAAAATGAATAAATATATAAATCGTTCATTCTTTCTTTGCTTCCAATTTCATGTTCCTTCTTTCTCCTCCTTCCTTTTCCTTCGTTTTCCTTCCTTTCCCTATCTCTTCCGTGCCTCATTCGTGACAAAAGCAAAGGTGCTAGAAAATGCCATGGATTCTGTTGCTTTAGAAAACTTTTTATATTTGAAATTGATATAGTTTTCTTGCTTAATTTGATTCATAATTATACTGTAAACGAACGCAATTGGTATTGATTATGGAATTAGGGATTTTATCTAACGCCGGGAACATTATTGGTAGCTGATTGGGAAGACCACAATGAGCTCGTAATAGATTATAATTAGACGGTAATTAGAAGGCAATTCAGGCAACTCTAGATATATAGCGAGAGATTCGCAAGTTTTGACATGAAAGTTTTCCCACAAGGATGATCAGAGTCGCTTGAGGATAACTTTTCTTAATAAATTTGCATTTTTCTATATAAGAGATTTTAAGTTCTATATATTTTTTTCTTTCATTACAATTACTGACATCAAATCATGAAACATATAAGAAAAAACACACAAAAAGTATGACACTTTGGTACCTACGTGAAACAACACTATCAACTTGATGAATAATTTAAACATCAATATTGTAAGAAATACCCAAATATTATATGTACAAATCCTAAACATTATTATTATTTTTATTCATTCATTCATATGAGTGTGTTTTCTCAATATATGTTTTAGATCTTGGGTTTTATTCTGTAACTTTTGAGTATCACTGAAATAATCAATTAGACTAATAATGACAATATATGTCTCTCTAGCTTTTATTATCTTGCATTTTCTCCCAGTCTTCTATCATTTCATACAAGGCGCCAGTTTAACCCATTTTTAGCATGCATGTAATGATTAACCCTTTTAGGCGAATTTCAAGTGTGAATTGATTCTCGATATAAAGACTACTTTGGTTTTCTTCAAGTTGAGCGACATTGCAAAGTTTTCACTCTATAAGTTCCCTTTCGTTTCATAATACAAGAAAGATGGAATAATTTGAAAGGCATCATTGAATATACATTTAGCAATATGATTTGCCTTTCGTTCCGTACCATAAAGTTTTGATAAACTGAAAGTCATCGCTCGTTCACAATCGGGACGATACACATTCGTCTATGCACGTTTATGACGCCGTATGTGTGTGTTTGTGTGCTTTTTAAGTGTACTCAAAGACTTAATTCTGAGGTTCATTATACATCACTCCTTCTACCTTTGATCTTCTGTAAAACGCGAGGAAATTTCGCAGCCAAAAAATAATCAGAGCATTTCACGTCCTGTAAATTATGCAAGGCCATGGAATTTCTCTCTTCTGGACTTTGGAAGAAATGCTCATGTTTTCTACTTATCAAAAAAAAATGTCTTGGATTCTCTAAACCAGTCAAAAAACTCCTTATCACCCATGCACTGAATATATATATATATATATATATATATATATATATATATATATATATATATATATATATATATATATATATATATATATATATATAATTTATTTATACATATATATATATATATATATATATATATATATATATATATATATATATATATATATATATATATATATATATATATATATTATTTATTTATACATATATAATATATTATATATATATATATATATATATATATATATATATATATATATATATATATATATATATTATTTATTTATACATATATAATATATTATATATATATATATATATATATATATATATATATATATATATATATATATATATATATATATACATATACATATGTGCATAAATATATATATAATATATATATATATATATATATATATATATATATATATATATATATATATATATATAGAGAGAGAGAGAGAGAGAGAGAGAGAGAGAGAGAGAGAGAGAGAGAGAGAGAGAGAGAGAGAGAGAGAGAGAGAGCATTTAAAGTAACGTGAACTAGCATATTTCCTTCACCAATAGAATATTCCTGAAGCTAGTCATATGAAATACCAGCGTCCTGTAATACTAATTCATGGAAATCGCATGCAATTCCGTCATTTCAGACATATACTTTGCAGATGGGGGGGAGACATATATAACTGATCAACCAATTTCACGTGCAGCTCTTGTCGAGTTCGTATTCCTAAACATACACATATGTAGAGAGAGAGAGAGAGAGAGAGAGAGAGAGAGAGAGAGAGAGAGAGAGAGAGAGAGAGAGAGAGAGAGAGAGAGAGAGAGAGAGAGAGAGAAAGAGAGAGAGAGAAAGAGAGAAAGAGAGAGAGAGAGAGAGAGAGAGAGAGAGAGAGAGAGAGAGAGAGAGAGAGAGAGAGAGAGAGAGAGAGAGAGAGAGAGAGAGAGAGAGAGAGAGAGAGAGAGAGAGAGCATTTAAAGTAACGTGAGCTAGCATATTTCCTTCACCAATAGAATTTCCTTGAAGCTAGTCATATGAAATACCAGCTTCCTGTAATATAATTCATGGAAGTCGCATGCAATTCCGTCATTTCAGACATATACTTTGCAGATGGGGGGAGACATACATAACTAATCAACCAGTGTTTGGGGTCAGTATTTCACGTGCAGCTCTTGTCGAGTTCGTATTCCTGAAGAGGATTTTTTCTCAGTGCTTAGGGTGTACGGAGTATCTATCTTTCCCTGCCTCCTATAAGGAAAGTCAGACGCCTTTTGAACCGGGTTTTGAATGGGACGAGCCAGTGTTCGCCAGAGGAAGAGAAGAGAGGTCCTATTGCATACTCTTTCTGGGAGTCGGTCAAGACAATTAATCAGTACATTTTCTGTTGCAGAGATATTTGTGCAATATTTTCACTATTCATCATTCCATGCACCATTGTTATTCTCTCTCCATCTGTCGTGCCTGGTATACAGAATGGGCGATAATAAGAAAATGAATCGACTCAATTTCAAATTCTTATTGTGACTGTTTCCTTTTCATCTATGTGTACACACCCTACTGTATTTGAGTTCATATATGTGTGTGTGTGTGTGTGTGTGTGTGTGTGTGTGTGTGTGTGTGTGTGTGTGTGTGTGTGTGTGTGTGTGTCTATCCATCTATATCTTGATAGACATATCCAAAAATATATACAAAGAAATTTGATCTGTCAATACTATTTCATTTATATAACCCTTATTACCACAGACCTATTGGAACCTGATCCAGGTGCTGCAATTAATATATTCAATCGCATTATATAAATAATACATATTTCTTCTTAAAGACTGATGGAACCCCTCAGGGAGAACTTAATCCATATAATATATTCATGAACTATATGTAATAACAACTTCATAACATTTTTCCTGCCAGTTTCTTTTTATTTTTAGGGTTTTATGTATCTAAATGGTTATAAGTTATCCTTATTGTTTCATTACAATTATTTAAACTACACGATTAGCTGTAATGATCAGATGGAAGTAAATCGATAGGCTTTATTTGGAGGAGGAAACTGTTTTTGTCTAAATTACAAGCATTTTAGGCGCCAGCAATGCCGCAGTGTAGATCGTTATTGAGGAAAGGGTGCAGGTTGTTATGAGCCAAAGGTAAATAACGTGTAGTTAACTTATGGGATTTTTTTTTTTTTTTTTTTTTTTTTTTTGGGGGGGGCACAATTCGAAAGGCTCTAAACCTGGGTTTTGAGGCTGGAAAGCAAGTTTTGGGGAGCGGGAAAGTGGAGCGAGGCCCTTGACAGTGAACGGTAATATGCATTATCTATAAATACCCTTGAATATATTTGACCATTAGAACTGTTCCCCTGACATATTTCAGCGTCCAACTTCGAACGCCAAATTAATTGCACACACATTTCTATTGTTGTATAGAAACAGCATTTGGTATTAAGAATAGATGTGATAATACCTCATAGTGTCTTCTACACAATTACCTTTTTCCTTTCACTAATTCCAGTAAAACAGGACCGCATACATTAGTTTCTCTTTTTTCTATTTATTTCTATGACATATCGAATGATGAAATTATGAGTGGATAAAATAGTATTAGGAAGTTTAATTCTTTTTAATTAATAAGTGTCTTCCTCAAGTCTGTTTCGTTCTCATAGCATATTTTTTCAATTTCATTTTTCCTGAAGTATTTGAAATCCACATGCTATCATCACCAAGCTTTGTTTGTTATATGTTGATGAATTAAGAGGTTAAAAAGTTTAGAACTAATTAAAAAAGTGTTTCCTTTAAGTACCATACAAATATTTTACCAAAGCAATGTTTCAATGTTATTCATGTTTTGTGATAATTTTTTTCAAGGTCACCAACATTTTCCTTATTCCTTTTTTTCTTTTAAGGACTAAAGTAGCAAAAATAAAACTCCACAGAATGCAATTTACCTTTATTGTAAGTAGAGGCATATTGTGGCCTACAAGAACGCAAGACAACGGTATCTGGCAACTCAGCACCAAAAAAATAAATGATGAAAACCTTGTACTTGTGAGAGGTGTGTGTTGTGTACTCAAACCTCAACCTCGCTGTTTAACAAGGTTGAAATCATCTGTCACAACACTTACCAGCGTATTTGAGAGGGATTCAGGGAATGCATCATTCACAGACTTCTTTGGAAAAAAAAAAGAAAAAAAAGAAAGAAAAAAAAAAAAAAAAAAAAAAAAAGTTGAACAGCAATAAGTTTCGTTCTATGAGCAATGCAAGAGAGACAAAAAAGGGAGTAACGTCTAAATTAAACAGCGCCAAACCAAACGTGGCTTTGATGCAAAAACGATGAAAATAGACGTGTTAGTTTACCCTTTTTGATAAACAATATTGCCATGTGCGTCTTTTCTGTGACTGAGGCACACCCTGTTATAAATTGAGGGGAACATCAACCATGTAATATCTACCTCCGTTCTATAACAACTCATAAAAATATCCACTTGAAGATAAAAATCTGGGGACCACTAAGGTGCCACCAAAAATTTCAAGTGACTTTAACTGATAACTAAACACGCCATGGTTGCATTTCACCCCTGGTTTCTATTCAGAATCAATGTTATATATATATATATATATATATATATATATATATATATATATATATATATATATATATATATATATATATATATATATATAATTTTGACAGTAACTTGTGAATAAGGTATGGCCCACAATCCGATGTATGAATGGCAGTCACACAAATTCATGAGAGCACAAAAGTTCAACCAATTATGGTGATAAACGTGCAAAAAACACCTTTATGGTTAACCTGTTATTTATCCCATGTATTGTAAGTTGTTAATATAAGTTTACATGGACCATATTAGGTTATCAATGGTGAGTACACACATTTTCATGATTTCAAATTGGACCTTTAATGTCTGGGTCCATTCCTAAGTTATCAACATCAATACAAACATCAAACAGAATCCAAACCTAAACCTGAAGCCATTTTACATATGCAATCCTGGCCTAGGTAAAAGTGAGCTCAAAGCAGCTTCCACTTTTCTGCCATTATCTATATATAATGGACATCTACATTATTCACCATAACTATTGGCAGCAGCTTAATGCAATCTTACAGGAATGTCTTGAACGTCTCTTCCTGGGAGAATACACTCCCGAGCTATCTCCCCATCTTTCTACGAGTAAATGCCTTCTGCAAGATGGACCTCGTGTGAATCCAAGTGGCTCACACCAAAAGCTTAGGAGAAAAAAGGGGGTGGGGGGATCATCATACAGTGCAAATAACCTCCTTCCAACATGGACATTTTTTGGACGAACAAGCCCTCAGAAATTCCTTCTGTCGGAAGCCTAGAGGATTTTTTTTTTTTTCATGACATTTCAAATATTTTGAAATTCATTTAAAAGAAAAAAAGAGAAAAAAGAGAAAAAAGTGAGAGAGAAGAAAGGAGAATCACATATCAAATGAGCATCACCATCAACATTACTGTGTTGACAGTGACAGTGGAAACAGAAGTGGTATGAACAGAGACAAGAGGAACTGATAGTCACAGTGTTCAAAATAATAAAGGGAGCTGTGAACTTTTGTAATAGTAATATCAAGAAACCAGCAAGAGATGTTTCATATATCAGTAAAAGTAATTAGGAGTATGGGTAAGGCATAAGTGGTTGGAGTATGTGATAGCAGTAATGATGATGATGATGACGATGATTATGGAGAGAGAAAAATATACACTGATGATGATTAGTAATAATTGTGGTATGTAAATGATAATGGTAAATAATAAAATCAAATAATGATAATAAAAATAAGGAAATTAATAACAACATTAATTAAAACAATAATAAAAAATTATACAATTAATAATAATAACAATAATAATGATAATAATAATAATAACAACAATAATAATAAAAATAATAATAACAACATTAATGAATAAATAAATAATCATAAAATTATCAATCCCTCAGCTGCAAGTGACAATATGTATAAAGGGACCACATTGAGTGAAATCTATTGCAAGGAGATTACAAACCAAAGTATAATGGGGTTAAGCATAATCACAAGTAATAACAATAACAGTATAACATCTATAATCAACAAAATAATAATTATAATAATTCATACAAAAATAACGAAAAAACAAAAATTAAAGAGTAATAATAAAAAATTAATAATAGTAATAATAATAATAATAAAAAAATAATAATAATAATAATAATTACAATAATAATATTTTTGAAGAAAGGCAATGAAATACAAAAACTGAAATCATACACTTTGTAAGTATTTATAGAAATGACTGGTCCTTGCAATTTCATTAGCACTTTTCAGGAAAAAAGAGAAAAAGAGAAAAAAACAAAAAAAACAAAGGAAAACAAATATTACCGCAACCAAACGCAGTGGCTGCAAAAAGCTCAAACGTTAACCCTGAAGAGGTTTTCTTGATCAGTAATACTAATTATAGTAACTTTCTTTCAACTACACATCTCTAAATGTTAAATCTTAGGCACTTGAAGTAACTGTAAAGTATTCATATAAAAAATACATCCCAAAGACATATGTTAAACTGAAAGACACCCTGATCGAGGACTATGGCTAAAAGATGCTGTTGATACGCATGTCACTGAAAATCTATTCCCAAGACTTGTGCATCAAACAAAGCCTGGACATTCAATCACTTGCATCCACGAGTCAATAGATTTTGGATTGTGTTATCAATCATAAAAAGGTTCATATGCTGAGCAATGCATTATTTCCTTTATTTGAAGTTTACTTAAAAATAATATCAGTCAGACTACACAACCAAGTTGACTACTGACAACTAAATCACGTCAAATAATGGGCACAGAAGCAACTCTGAATATTTCCCTAAAAAAAAGAATAATATATATATATTTTTTTTGAAAACTAATTAAACTTTATTGGTAGTCACTTTTTTTTTTTTTTTTGCCTAAAATACTAGCAATACTTTCAATACATCTTTATATCAATTTCACTCAGGCTTAATCTCTTTTGTCAAAATGAATCCTTTATCTATATCCTTCTCTTTTCTCCTTACCAAATACCTTCAATTCCCCAAGCCAGCCTTGGCTGTAAAGATAAATTACACTTTAGTAAGGACAAATTTTTCTGTGTCATAATGTCAAGCACTTCACAGAACTCTTTTACCTTATAATTTTCATGTATTTAAATATAACATGTGACACAATTTCCCTCTGATAACTTTAATATCCCAATATAAATTGATCTTATTCATCTCCCCTGACAATGATAACACAACTAAAACATCACCATCATCATTTCAGAACAAATTGAAGAGCCCACAATATAGGTATCTTGTCCATACTTCTATTCAAAACTCTGAGAACCTCCCCTTATGATCCAGTTCTGGCCACTTATCCTGAGGTATATATGTGAGGCATGACAGTGTTTACACCTGAAGTAGCAACAATGGAATGCAAACATGGTGCACACCTACTCCTTACTGTCTTTAACCTGATACAAAAAGAGAAAAGCGAAAGAAGAAAAAAAAAAGGGACAAGCGGAGCATACAATTTGCTAAGTCAAAAGACAAATAATGCAACCTTACTTGCCAAGACACATTGTCATAAACAAATATTCTCAATGGAAAATAAACAGAAATATAAATCTAAAGAACCTAGAAAGTGTAAAATATAAATTTGTCAATAACAGCCTGAAGTGATCGCCCTACCTCATCCAACCTATACTATTTACAGAGGCATTATCGAGTAAACACAATCTTCATATAAACACTAAGATTCCATCTCATACATTATGAACAATAAAAAATAATGAACAGGAACGACACATCAGGCTGCCATTAAATGCCATTAAAAGGAACAGGCACATCACATATCAGGATTGTCAACAACACAGAGCAGCATATCACACAAATATTGCCTATAATATGAAATAAATAAGTACAGTCCAGTACCACAGCCATGTTAGTTATACTACTGGATTAATATCTTCTTTTTTTTTTTTAATACCCGCAAAGGAATTTTGCACTTTATCTCATTTTTTTTCTTTTAAATACAGCATCAAAAGCAGTATTTTGTTTTAAGATTATGACTAATATAATAAACCTCATATTTACCTTCAGTAATCCCTTCTGTAATCATCTATGCAATTCATACGACAATCACACAGGCAAGATAACTGAAACTGGTATATTTTAAAGTTATATATATATATTCATTTATCTCCATATGCTCTAATATTATCTAAATATGTGTTTTCACTTACTCTAATATTCTTTATCCCTTATTAACAAAGATGTTAAATATATGCACATCATAAAAAGAAAAGAAAAATCTTCCCCCTTTCCACCAGTGATTTTTGAAATGCAATACAATCCCACTCCAAGCAGGGGTCCCTGTGCCACTCTGCCAGAGGGAAGAACAACAGTGCGGAGGCTACGAAGGCAGGTGAACGGGAGCCCTTTTCGACTAATCCTGGTCTTCCTTCTTGTTCCTCCCATACACAGATACATCTAAATTTGATGCTTTTAATTTTAGAAATAGAGTGACAGAAAAGAGAAGAGTAGACCCCAAAATAAAAAGGGGGCAAAGGAGGGGGGAAAAAAAAAAAAAAAAAAAAAAAGAGGAGAGGGGGGTAAGGAATCTACAAATTATATGTACTTTTCTATGAAAAAAATAAAATAAATATAAATGTAAAAGTACACACATGAATATTTACAACATAATCTTTCAGTAATAAATTTAGGTTCAAAATTTCAGTCAAACATCTAAAAAAAAATTAAATATAAAAAAAAAAGGAAGAAAAAGACAGCTTTGTCAGTGTCTGTCTGTTTATAATACCTCAAAGCACAAACTTCTTTTGTCAACATTTTTGTGCTTGTATTTATGGATCTTTCCTAACTCACTAAGTCTAATGGCTGAATCTGCAGTCAATATATTTATGTCTATTTATTTGTGACGATGTCACTTTTCATTTTGAAAAATAAGTGATTTGGGTTCATGGAGTATAAAGCAAGAAATTCTTACTTTATATAAAACTATGAAGCAGGGCTGTCAAAACTAACATCTAGTAACCAAAAAGAAGAAGCACACAAAGGTGACATTTACCAATATTAAAGAGTCCAACAAAGTGGAGGCATATATCATAAGCTTAAATTAATGTTAATGCTGCCAGTTTCTAGTGACAAACACTGACTCATTCAGAAAAAAAGGCTAAACATTAATAAACAAATAAAAATTATTGATAAACTCTGTGGAAATAACCAAACTTTTCCCCATAATTTCAAATGCTAATATAAGTTCTTTTTTTCCTTTTTTTTTTTAAATGCAACCTACCATAATTTACCTACACCCTTAAACATCTGCAACTGGGCACTTCAAAGAAATGTTATGGTAAGCAAAAATAAATGGTAATAAAATGGGCAAATGAACATCAAATCTAACTGTCAGTGATCCGGAATAACATAATCAACAGAGGCTGATTAAAATCTGTCACAGTTACTGTGGCTTTGATCTTAATTCCATGATAAAAAAATCCCAAATCTTGAAAAAACAAACTAATAAAATACTTGTCAGGGGGGAGGGGGATTCACTATTCAACTTACAAGTAATTGAGCCTCATCTGTAACACATGCATCTCTCCTGTTTTACTGGCATTATAAGTGCAGCAGAAATACAGAGTAATTAATATATGATACTTTTCTACTCTTCATCATAATATTTTAAAAGTTTTTCTTGTCTGGTAATAACTGAGTTGCTCATGTTTTATTAAATTAGGTTACACACTGGACAGCTCTGTTTTTTTGCTATTTCTTGAGGAGAATACCATCAGACAGGGTTATTATATCACTGCTTCAAAATCACAACTCAAAATATTCATATATACAACTCATCCCTTTTTCACAACTCAGTTTATATTACCTCAAATCCTTTACTTTAGAAGGTGGATTATGCTCCAATGAATTTAATATTTTTATAATACATGGGATAAGCAGAATATATCTAATAATACTATTACATAATTTTCACAAAAAAGTATTCTTATTATTCCTTTACAACCTCTAAGCAGCATCTTGGAAGTATGTATATATATATATAAAAATCTTTTGTTATTATTATAGATGATGCTTACATTACCCACAACTAATATCACTTGAAGAACCTCTCATGAAAACCATCGCATGTATAGTTTTACAGCCTTATCTCTCAACTTGGGGTGACTGGCTTCACAAATGGTCTGTGAATGGAAAAGACAGTCATTAATATATATAACAAAGTAAAATAATTATATTTCATTCCCCACACTTCAATAAAGTTTTACGAATTTGAAAGTATCCAGGATTTTGGTTAATGAATGTTATACTGTAAAGAATACACAAATGATCATAAGTATGCTTATTACTCTGGACCCATCTACAGAACAAAATAAGCACTCAGAGCTGATAGCTTACATGATGGTTGACAGATCCTTTGATTCAGCCAAGAGTTTGAAAGAATCCCCAAACACCTTTTTCACTCTTTCAAATACTTCCTCATCATAAACAGATCTTGCTGTGTTGGTCAGATCAAAAGGTTCTGTTGGATATGAAGGGAAATTAGTAATAGAAAAAAAAAAAAAAAAAAAAAAAAAATTATATATATATATATATATATATATATATATATATATATACACATATATATATCTATATTTATGTATATGAAAGTATCCATCATTATATAAATGCAACTCCAACCAAACAACTCATATAAACAAACTACACATGAAAAGGTAAAAACCATAATAAACAAACAAACAACCTTCAATGCACAGATATTTCCACATGCGGGAATCGTTCTTGCGAGACCTGACAGAACGGCACTGACTCGTTGGCATGGTTCCTCCAGTCCTTACTGAGATTGTGTCCTCTATAAATCTGTAATCATAAATCCAAACAAAATTATGAGTTCAATTACACACTTGTAAATATGTATCAAAAATAGGAAAGATCTTTAAAAAAATGTAGGCATAATGTATGTGGAGGCAATTAGATGGGAAGATAAATAAATATCAAAATCT